TTATACCCCCCTTATGTATTATACATGGAGATCATATCCCCCCTTATCCCCCCTTATATTATACATGGAGATCATATCCCCCCTTATGTATTATACATGGAGATCATACCCCCCCTTATGTATTATACATGGTGATCATACCCCCCCTTATGTATTATACATGGTGATCATATCCCCCCTTATGTATTATACATGGAGATCATATCCCCCCTTATGTATTATACATGGAGATCATATCCCCCCTTATTTATGATACATGGAGATCATATTCTTCCTTAATCTTCTCTTCTCAAGAGAGAATAAATTCAGTTCCTCTAATCTTTCCTCATAGCTGATCTCCTCCATGCCTCTTATTAGTTTGGTTGCCCTTCTCTGTACTTTCTCCAGTTCCCCAATGTTCTTTTTGTGAATTGGCGCCCAAAACTGAACTGCATATTCCAGATGAGGTATTACTAATGATTTGTACCGGGGGAACTGATATCTCTCTCTGGAGTCTATACCACTTTTAATACAAGAGAGGATTTTGCTCAATTTAGAAACCGCGGCTTGGCATTGCATGACGTTATTAAGCTTGTGATCTACCAGAACTCCCAGATCCTTCTCCACCATTGATCCCCCCAGTTGTACCCCCCCTAGTATGTATGATGCATGCATATTCTTAGCTCCCAAGTGCAGAACCTTACATTTATCAGCATTACTCCTCATTTACCACATAGTTGCCCAATTACACATAGCATTGAGGTCGGCTTGTAAGTTGGAGACATCCTGTAAGGACGATATTCCACGGCACAGCTTAGTGTCATCTGCAAAGACTGAAATGGAATTTTAAATCCCACCCTTCTGTCCAAGTATACCACGTCCACCGCCACCCCTCTGTCCAAGTATACCACGTCCATAGCCACCCCTCTGTCCAAGTATACCCCGTCCACCGCCACTCCTCTGTCCAAGTATACTATGTCCACTGCCACCCCTCTGTCCCAGTATACCACGTCCACCGCCACCCTCTGTCCAAGTATACCACATCCACTGCCACCCTCTGTCCATGTATACTATGTCCACCACCACCCCTCTGTCCAAGTATACCACGTCCACAGCCACACCTCTGTCCAAGTATACCACATCCACTGCCACACCACTACTGCAGTTCAATAACCTCTTGTCGATCACCCAACACATATATGTGGTGGCAAGAAAAGTGGGCTTTTGCACTCAGCCGTCACCTATCTATGGTGGCCTTAAGTTGCAGTGAGATAGGCTACTGATCATGTGACAGCTGTGAGAGCCAGTCACGGCAGTCACAGGATACAGAAGTCACACCACCTCCTGGGTTTTTAAAACACACTTAAAAAGCCACTGGGTGGCATTGTTAGGGGTTAGAAAATTCTTGCCTGACAAAGGCAAATGAAGGCAAACATTCTTTCTTGTGTACAGTTTCTATTTTCATTGTCCCCTTCTTACGGGTCGTTCTTTGCTTCCAATCACGTGTCTTTTTTTTTCTATTCAGTTATTTCCTTATGATTATCGTACAAATTGAGCAAAAATCAAACGTTGTGTTTACGTATGATAAATGTTTTCTAGCTTGCACCTTGGTTGTTTTCTCGTCCGAGCAGTCAGAATCAGCTCTCAAAAGCACTATACTAATAAACAGATAATCGACCGATCGTTCCTTGTACAGGAATGTTCATACAATTTTCTTAACATGTGTACAGGCCCTAAAATTGAACGGTCTTATCCCTCCCCCAGCTTGTGACTGGAGAGTAAAAAGAGAGACAGCTGACTGATGAGCTCATCTCTCTGTCATTCTGCTTTCTCCTCCTATCAACATGCTCTGTGCACTGCAACATAAATCATTGGCTCCTTGTGCTACCTCTTCCCCTCCCAGTCTAAGTTCTGCTGCACAGGAACTGCAAAAGGCTGATACCTGGTCGAATTCAGGTACTGTGCCAGCGCCTCCAGTAAGAGGTTTCAGAACCAGGGAGGCGGGGCGTGGTTTCAGGGTCATGTGATTGCCGTGATTTGCTGTCACGGTGGTTACATGATCAGAAAAGGTCCCGATTGCAAGGGGAGATCGGGACCTTTCCGTGAGACACCGGCATATGTGCTGGGAGCACGCAGGGCATGCGCTTTCAGCACATACAGTTGTGTTCAAAATAATAGCAGTATGTTGAAAAAAGTGAATAAAGCTCAAAATCCTTCTAATAGCTTTTATTTCCATCCACACAAATGCATTGGGAACACGACACATTCTATTCCAAATCAAAACATGAAGAAAAATATATCAAATTTGTGTTGTTCCTCTAAAAAAATTTAAGAAAAGTGAATATTAGACGGTTCAAAAAAATAGCAGTGTTTGTATTCTTCTTTACAAACTCAAACATTCACTATATAAACTGAAAAATGTTTGAAGATTTTGCTTTCCTTTGAATCAATTAATGAATATTTAGTTGTATAAGCACTGTTTCTGAGAACTGCTGTACATCTGTGTTGCATGGAGTCACCCAACTTCTGGCACCTGTGATCAATATTCCAGCCCAGAATGTTTGGACTACATTCCACAGTTCTTCTCTATTTCTTGGTTTTGCCTCAGAAACTGCATTTTTGATGTCACCCCACAAATTTTCTATTGGATTAAGATCCAGGGATTGGGCTGGCCACTCCATAACGTCAATCTTGTTGGTCTGGAACCAAGATGTTGCACGTTTACTGGTGTGTTTGGGGTCGTTGTCTTGTTGGAACACCCATTTCAAGGGCATTTCCTCTTCAGCATAAGGCAGCATGACCTCTTCAAGTATTCTGATGTATTCAAACTGATCCATGATCCCTGGTATGCGATAAATAGGCCCAACACCGTAGTATGAGAAACATCCCCATATCATGATGCTTGCACCACCATGCTTCACTCTATTCACAGTGTACTGTGGCCTGAATTCAGTGTTTGGGGGTCGTCTGACAAACTGTCTCCGCCCACTAGACCCAAAAAGAACAATCTTACTTTCATCAGTCCACAAAATATTGCACCATTTCTCTTTAGGCCAGTCAATGTGCTCTTTGGCAAATTGTAACCTCTTCAGCACGTCTTTTTTCCAACAGTGGGACTTTGCGGGGGCTTCTTGCAGATAGCTTGGCTTCACATAGGTGTCTTCTAATTGTAACAGTCCTCACAGGTAACTTTACACCTTCTTTCATCTTCCTGGAGCTGATTGTTGGCTGAGTCCGCGCCATTTTGGGTATTCTTCTATCCATTTGAATGGTAGTTTTTCGCTTTCTTCCACGTCTTTCAGGTTTTGGTTGCCGATCATTTTAGCTGAGCAGCCGATCATTTTCTGCACTTCTTTATATGTTTTCCCCTCTCCAATCAACTTTTTATTCAAGGTACGCTGTTCTTCTGATCAATGTCTGGAACGACCCATTTTCCTCAGAATTTCAGAGGGAAATGCACTGTAACCAGAATGTACAACATTTGCTGCCTTCCTTCCTTAAATAAGGGCAATATTTGCCACCTGTTTTTCAAAGAATGAATGACCTCACTAATAGAACTCCACACTGCTATTATTTTGAACATGCCCCTTTCAATTAGTGATTCAATGACACAGAATCAGCAGCATGCATGTCATGACTGTTGGGTCTATTGGATTTATATTACTTTACTACACCTGCTAGTAAATTATTTGCCATGTAGAAATATCATTTCTACCAAAAACAGTGATTGATCAGGTTAGTGATGTCTGACTGCAATTATTTTGAACATAACTGTATGTGTTTTCCAATGGTACGCAAGTATGCAGCCGCTTGGCGTCAAGACCCAGCTGCCGAGAGGCCGCATATTTGCATACTGTCGGCATCATTTAATGATATATGAATGATATTCATTTTTAACAGCTTCCCGTCTGCCCTATAGCAGTACTGCTACAGGGCAGCATGGGTGAGCACAATCACGTATATATATTTCCGGGTAGGGGGCGCGCATGAGGTTTGCCGGTGCCCGGTGATTGACGATTATTCGCCCGTGCCCGGTGATTGCCGAGCATCTTCGACGCGGGGGAGAACTGTTTCTAAAGTAAACAGTTCTCTGCCCTGTCAGCTCCTGCACTCCTGCACACTCCTTTGAATGGCTGTGCATAGCAGAGCCATACAAAGCAGTGTGCTTACAGTGAAGCACAGACAGCACGCATTGTAAAACAGCACACAGTTAACCCTTTGATCTCCCCAGATCTTAACCCTTTCCTGCCAATAGTACAGTGTCACTGCTTTTTATTAGCACTGATCACTGTATTGGTGTCACTGGGGATGTCAGTGACACCAAGTCAGTTTCCCCCAGTGTCAGAATGCCTGCCACAGTCTTGCTATAAGTTGCTGATCACCGCCATTACTAGTAAAAATTAAAAAAAAAAAATATAAAATCCTATTATATATACTGTCATTTGTAAATGCTATAAATTTCAAATAAACCAATTAATTTACACGTATTGGGATTTTTTTTTTAGCAAAGACATGTCGCAGAATACATTATGGATGAAATTTATGATGAAATTTGATTTTTTAATTTTTTCTTACTGGACATGTTTAGCAAAAAGTATAAAATATTGTTATTTTCTCAAAATTGCGATCAAATACCAACAAAAAAAAGCTCATTCATGGTAAAAAAAAGATGCACATTTCATTTGGGTGCAGTGTTGCATGACCGCGCAATTGTCCATTAAAGTAATGCAGCGCCGTATCACAAAAATTGGCCTGGTCAGGAAGGGGGGGGGGGGGGGTAATCCTCAGGAGGGCAAGTGGTTTAAACAGCAGAAATAGGGCAATAGGCATTATCTAACAACAAGGCAGTCAAAGAAGCAGTGGTGGGTTGCCAGCCAAGGAATCCAGATTTTCTCAAAATTTGGGGGACATGTCCAACCAAATATAATCTGTTCTGCTATTGGGCAAGGCTGCATTCACTAACTTCAGTACCTTGGGGTAGGCTGGGGGAAGCACAACCTTCTTTTTGAATGTGTTTAAAGTATATTTTCTGCCACAATTCCCCAACAGCAATGTTTTAGGTGTTTGGGGAAAATGGAATCCCAATTCTGGGAAATCTGAAAATTCTCCCTTGAGTGGGACTGTACCTGCTCTGCAAGAGTTGCCTGCTCATATATATTCTAGAGGAGAGTAACATTTTACTAAACCCCGGACCCTGCATTCACTATATCCGCTCTCCCCGGACCCTGCATTCACTATATCTGGTCTCCCCAGACCCTGCATTCACTATATCTGGTCTCCCCGGACCCTGCATTCACTATATCCGCTCTCCCCGGACCCTGCATTCACTATATCTGGTCTCCCCGGACCCTGCATTCACTATATCCGGTCTCCTCGGACCCTGCATTCACTATATCTGGTCTCCCCGGACCCTGCATTCACTATATCCGGTCTCCCCGGACCCTGCATTCACTATATCTGGTCTCCCCGGACCCTGCATTCATTATATCCGGTCTCCCCAGACCCTGCATTCACTATATCTGGTCTCCTCGGACCCTGCATTCACTATATCTGGTCTCCCCAGACCCTGCATTCACTATATCTGGTCTCCCCAGACCCTGCATTCACTATATCTGGTCTCCCCAGACCCTGCATTCACTCTATCTTGTCTCCCCAGACCCTGCATTCACTCTATCTGGTCTCCCCGGACCCTGCATTGACTATATCTGGTCTCCCCGGACCCTGCATTCACTCAATCTGGTCTCCCCGGACCCTGCATTCACTCAATCTGGTCTCCCCGGACCCTGCATTCCCTCAATCTGCTCTCCCCGGACCCTGCATTCACTATATCCGGTCTCCCCGGACCCTGCATTCACTATATCTGCTCTCCCCGGACCCTGCATTCACTATATCCGCTCTCCCCGGACCCTGCATTCACTATATCTGGTCTCCCCAGACCCTGCATTCACTATATCCGCTCTCCCCGGACCCTGCATTCACTATATCTGATCTCCCCGGACCCTGCATTCACTATATCTGGTCTCCCCGGACCCTGCATTCACTATATCTGGTCTCCCCCGGACCCTGCATTCATTATATCCGGTCTCCCCAGACCCTGCATTCACTATATCTGGTCTCCTCGGACCCTGCATTCACTATATCTGGTCTCCCCAGACCCTGCATTCACTATTCTGGTCTCCCCAGACCCTGCATTCACTCTATCTTGTCTCCCCAGACCCTGCATTCACTCTATCTGGTCTCCCCGGACCCTGCATTGACTATATCTGGTCTCCCCGGACCCTGCATTCACTCAATCTGGTCTCCCCGGACCCTGCATTCACTCAATCTGGTCTCCCCGGACCCTGCATTCCCTCAATCTGCTCTCCCCGGACCCTGCATTCACTATATCCGGTCTCCCCGGACCCTGCATTCACTATATCTGCTCTCCCCGGACCCTGCATTCACTATATCCGCTCTCCCCGGACCCTGCATTCACTCTATATCTGGTCTCCCCAGACCCTGCATTCACTATATCCGCTCTCCCCGGACCCTGCATTCACTATATCTGATCTCCCCGGACCCTGCATTCACTATATCTGGTCTCCCCGGACCCTGCATTCACTATATCCGCTCTCCCCGGACCCTGCATTCACTATATCTGGTCTCCCCGGACCCTGCATTCACTATATCGGTCTCCTCGGACCCTGCATTCACTATATCCGGTCTCCCCGGACCCTGCATTCACTATATCTGGTCTCCCCGGACCCTGCATTCATTATATCCGGTCTCCCCAGACCCTGCATTCACTATATCTGGTCTCCTCTGACCCTGCATTCACTATATCTGGTCTCCCCAGACCCTGCATTCACTATATCTGGTCTCCCCCGGACCCTGCATTCACTCTATCTTGTCTCCCCAGACCCTGCATTCACTCTATCTGGTCTCCCCGGACCCTGCATTGACTATATCTGGTCTCCCCGGACCCTGCATTCACTATATCTGGTCTCCCCGGACCCTGCATTCACTCAATCTGCTCTCCCCGGACCCTGCATTCACTCAATCTGCTCTCCCCGGACCCTGCATTCACTCAATCTGCTCTCCCCGGACCCTGCATTCACTCAATCTGCTCTCCCCGGACCCTGCATTCACTCAATCTGCTCTCCCCGGACCCTGCATTCACTCAATCTGCTCTCCCCGGACCCTGCATTCACTATATCCGGTCTCCCCGGACCCTGCATTCACTATATCTGCTCTCCCCGGACCCTGCATTCACTATATCCGCTCTCCCCGGACCCTGCATTCACTATATCTGCTCTCCCCAGACCCTGCATTCACTATATCTGATCTCCCCGGACCCTGCATTCACTATATCTGGTCTCCCCGGACCCTGCATTCACTATATCTGGTCTCCCCGGACCCTGCATTCATTATATCTCGTCTCTCTGGACACTGCATTCACTATATCTGGTCTCCCACAGTACACAGAACATGGAAATGCAATTATTTTAGTAAATATAAACTGCTAAATACCTTTTCTCATCAGCAGTGTAGGGCAGTCTTGTGATTTCAGCTGAGCACTGGTTAAAGCTTGTAGGAGGAGTTTTTTTTCTGCTCTAGGAGGATGCAGAACCCCTGACCTCTGTCTGGACAGTGCTGATTGGCCCTGTGCTGATCACATGCACTCTCCCAAGAAAAAAAAATACACACCAAACTGAGCATGTGCTTGTGGCTACAGGTTCAGTCTCTTTTGTCAGGAGATAAGACGTGGACATTTGAACAAGAGGAGGGGCAGAGAAGACAGGATCACAATGCAGAGGATTAACCCCTTGGGTTCCATAGTGAGTATAACAAGCATGCTTTACTGCATATACAGACTAATTGCACTGTTGTGGGTTTAGTAACACTTCAAAGCGCTTTTACTTACCAGATCCCCCACTCATAGAAATGTAGTATTTCCCCATGCTCCAGCTGTGGACTGTCCATGCAGAGCTGTGGACCCTTTATTCGTCTTCATTATGTCAAAACTTCAGAACACTGGAGAATGGGGGAGAAGATACTGCAGGGACCAGTCTTGCCGAGGACAGAGGAGCAGGTAAGCAAAGCAACCTTTCCATGCCCCTTAGACCTAAAAGAACAGTAAAGTGACACTAAAGCTTGTCTTTTTTTTCTAAAATAACAAACATGTCGATACTTACCTGCTCTGTGCAGTGATTTTGCATAGAGCAGCCCCGATCTTCTTCTTTTTGGGTCCCCTCCAGAGCTCCTGACTCCTCCTCCTCAAGCAGTGTCCCCAAGGAAAGCTGCTCGCCTTCGGGGCACCTCTACATGCTCGTCCTCGAGTTGCTGCTCTGTGTGTCCATAAGACACATAGATCCGCGACTCGGCCCCACCCCCTGCTCTCTCCTCATTGACTTACTGGCTGTGATTGACAGCCAATGAGCTCCCGCTGCTTTCTCAGCCAATGAGGAGGAAGAGTCCCCAGACAGCAGAGGTTGTTGAAAACATCGCTGGATCAGGGGGGCTCAGTTAAGAATTTGGGGGACTGGGGGGGGCCGCTGCACACAGAAGGTTTTTTACCTTCATGCATAGAATACATGAAGGTAAAAAACCTTCAGCCTTTAGAACCACTTTAATATTAGCAGTGCAAGAGCAGCCCCACCCCAAGGGAAAATGTTCATTTCCTGAGGTCAAATTTAACCCTTTGTGCCTAAGGGTAAAACAAACCTTTACATTTAAAAAAAGGTGCAGCGCTTATAAATATCATGCAGTAAATGTGAGCATAAAGATTAATGGTGCACAAAAAGTCCATGTGATGGTCAAGATCTGAGAAGTAAATAGATTGCTCGCTCATCAGATGCACAAAGTTATTGATCATTTGAGAGAACTATGTCTCAGTAGGTCAAACCGGGGCACCTTAGAGGGGACTTCTTCCATCTGGTATGGATTCCTCCCTGGATGACTCCTGGATGGTAGCGGCTTATCTCTCCTCTGTAAAGAACTCTGCGAATGGTTGGACTCATACAGAGACCAAAAAAGGAGGAGGCCACATAGTGTAATACTGCTTCAAAATTTATTCTAGTCAAAATACATAGTAACAGAAAAAAACACTGACCATGAACAGGCAAGATGGCTGCCGGACCACCACAGGGTCTCAGCAGCGTAACGTCACGGTGTTGTAGCTCCTCCCTGATGCGTTTTGTGCTACGCACATAGTCATATGGGGTATGCTATCCTTACAGAGGAGAGATAAGCCGCTACCATCCAGGAGTCATCCAGGGAGGAATCCATACCAGATGGGAGAAGTCCCCTCTAAGGCGCCCCGGTTTGACCTACTGAGACATAGTTCTCTCAAATGATCAATAACTTTGTGCATCTGGTGAGTGCGCAATCTATTTACTTATCACCAGGAGTGGCTAGGAAGAAATCCTCACTACCACATCTCAGATCTTGACCATCACATGGACTTTTTGTGCACCATATATTAATCTTTATGCTCACATTTACTGCATGATATTTATAAGCGCTGTACCTCTTTTTATATTATTACTTTTGGAGAGGTTGTATCGGTGCCTTTTTTGGTGTCCCAGCTGCTTTGAAATATAGCGCTCACTATTTCTTCTTTCCATTTAAATCTTTACATTTAACCACCTCCCGTCCGGCCCATGTATATAAACGGCCGGATGGTGGCAGTGCAGGGGCAGGTGGCTGTTTATAAACGGACTCCCCGCCCCCTTGCTTGTGCGCGCTCCCTGGGAGCGCACGGCACCGCGATCCGGTGCCCGCTGTGTCCTCCTGACACAGTGGAACACCGATTGTTGTACGGGACCCGATCATGTGATCACTGATTGGCCAATCAGTGATCACATGCAGAGTAGTAAGCAAGATGTCACTTCTGACATCATTGCTTACTACGTGTAAAATCTGTGAATGATCACAGAGGTCACATGGTACAAGGCTATTCACAACAGCCTTGTACCATGTGAGAAGCTGTGACCAATCATAGCTCACACAGTAGTTCTCAATGGCTGCAAGAATGCAGCCAGAGAGAAGAAGAAATTATTGATTTTACAGCCTTTATGGGTGTAAAAGCAATCAGTGTAAAAAAAGAAAAAAAAATCTTCATCATCCCCCACAAGTAGTTCAGTGTCGCTATGGTGACACTGTACTACTAGGGTGATGGTATGTTAAAAAAAAAAAATAAAAAAAAATTTAAATTAAAAAAAAGTTTGAAAAATTATAATTTTTGGTTATAAACTAATTTGGGTTGTTTTATTTTGTTTTACTAAAAAGATAGCTGAATACATTTTGGCCAAGATTTATGAAGAAACATTATTTATGTGCAAAACTTTAAAAGAAAAACACTTTTTTTTCTTTAATTTTTGGACTTTTTCATTTACATAGCAAGAGAAATAAAAATCCCAGTGGTGAATAAATACCACCAAAATAAAGCTTTATCTGTCTGTACTGTACTGCTAGGGTGACAGTATGTAAAAAAAAACACATAAATAATAGTATATAAAAAAATAAAAATGTAAATAGAAATGTATAAAAATT